GCTTTTTGGAGGACACGTGGTAATGTGAAAAATTTGAAATTCTGGTGGAAGGAGAAAAGACCTTAAGATTGGCCAAAGCGTAGTTTGAGCGATAGTTGCTCTACGGCTTCTTGAACGGCTTCTAACGAACTTGTTCCTTTCTCTACCTAAAATTTTACCGCGCATACACTGTAAGCAAAAGCCAGCAAACAGTAATCGTCTGAAGTCCAAATTTACTAACGACACAACTCAAAGGTGGAGGAGGATTGTAATACCATTAGACAATTAAAGATCACAGAAGACTATAGATTCTTGCACTGCTTATCTATGCGGCAAGCCCACACTTTATTAGTAATACAACTCCCAGATAATGATAGAGTTTTCTGCAAGCTAACGTTTTTAGAATTCGCTGTACTTTGCTTTAAAATAATCCGGAAAGGAGAAGATATATTTTGACCGGGACAATCACATCCCAAATTCTACCAACTCATGGCCAAAAATGAATTTATCAGAATTCAAAGTACGGGAATATTTCCGGGAATGGACCAATTGTCCGTTTTTATGATCTGAATAAATGAATTTGCAATACTGCGGGACAGTAGATCGAAAATTAACTTTTTTGTTACGTTACACAATAACGACGAAAGACTTGACATAGGCCCACTTTTTATTATATTCACGTGTATTTGTTAGTCTGGCCATCTTGTTGTCCAGTGTTTCACGTAAAGGCCGCAGTTTTTAAGATATTTGTCTTTATGTTGACGTGTTTTACGCAAAGGACAAGCGCTATTGAAAATGGTTGGCATCAGTCCACTTTTTTGACTACTCCCCATATAATGCCTTATTTTGAAAGGAGTTGCAATTATCAAAATTTTGAATTGGTAGTAAACGTTTAATTCGAATGCGGCAATTTTTTGAGCCCTGTCTTATATAATCATACCATCACTCATCGACGTTTGCCGAGAAATTTAAAAAATCGCAATTGCGATATGGGAAGTGGTCTAAACAATGGATCAATCCGAACCATTTTCAACGGCGTTCGTGCTTAAGCCGAAACAGGTCATTGTACCAAAATACGTGGACAGACGTCAGACGGACAGAATAGAATCATTTTCTGAATCGAAAGGTATGATGGAAAGTGGTTGCACCTTAGGCTCTTCTAGATGTTTAATAGGCCCGCACAAACTTAATATACCATGTAATACAAATAGTGTAGGATACAATTAGAATAATTTTGATTCAATTGTCATTCAAAATTAAACGGCGTATTGGAAGAGACGGTACTGTATTGACTTGAAAGAACTTTCATGTAAAACAACGAAATCTATAATAGACGTAAAAATCGATTTGAAATAGTCGGAGAGAAAGAAAACTAAATTAGAGGGGAATTTTTGAAAATTTAATCGCCAAGTGAATTATATCCTTTTAACAAAAAACGTTTCTTGTGAGCGGTGGGGCGAATTATGGTCTCCCGTTGAAGTTATCATCATTCATCCATTAGCTTCAGATCTGTTCATATCGTTCGATAATGTGATCTATGCGCTGCAACCTTTCAGGCAGTATCGTGATGTCTGTGGTAAGCCGTAAGACGCAGAAGCTATAAGCAACGACCTGTCAAATAGGCCTCGGCTTTAAATCGGCTTGGTAGTGAGGCCTCCTATCAAGGAGATTGTCGCTCTGCGTGGACGGCGTCAATTCATGCCCAAATAAACCTTTGTGTTAGCGGACTTCGTGATGTTAAGCCTAAAAAACCGCTATTTAGCCTCGCGCACTACGTTCGTAGTCCTGAGTCGAAGCATCTAATCATTCTTTGAAATTGTGTGAGAAGAGTTCTGTATCTTAACTTTTCAGAGCCTTCGATAGCACAATATTGCTTGTTTATCTACGCAAACGAATGAAAATGAATCCAATGATTTTTAACTCAAGGCATTTTCTTTAAAAAGTCCTGATCTTGTTCACATATTTGTAATACACAATCAGCGAATGTAGCTGAAAAGCTCCTCGCTTCTACTTGGCAAATGTTATTGCAATACACGTTGTATGTTAACTGTTGAAAAATGGCGCCTCTGGTTGAAACACCCTATGCGTACGTCATTGTTTCGTGTATGCTTATGTTGACAAGTGTATGTATACGCGATACCTGGCAAAAAAAAATAAAAATAAAAAAACAGATGAAATAAAATCGTTGCCAAAAAGTGCACAAAGAGTATAACATAACTTTAAAGTTACTACAATGATGATAAAAAAAACTTTTTCAAACTTTTCTAAAGGTTTTTTTTACATATATATATATATATATATATATATATAGGGACACTGCGAGTCTGTATGTTAAACTGATGTTCCGTCTGCGACATAAGTCGGGTTAAGGGTTATCAAAATGTATATATATTTTTGGTAAGCAATGTATTCTCTGAATTCATTCACTTACGTACATCGGCCCGTCTCTCTCCGGTTATTATTCAAGATCTGAAAAATTGCGATAACAACTTGATATATGCAAGATGAATGCAGATATCATTTTGACCGATTACGTCTTGTCATTGAACTCTAAAAATAACTTCTAATGCGTTTGGTTCAATGATTCCCAATGACCTTCAAGATATCTGCTAAGAAATTTTCAAATATTTAACGACAAGACGGCTTTCTTCGGCCTCATGGCTTAGCTACGATCATATTCGAAACATATTCGAAATAGTGGATATTTCCGATTAATTTTTCAAGTAAATATAGATTACTTGTAAGATCTAGACTGTAGACCTTACTCCCTCTTTTAAGTTTTATTGTAAGCTGAGAATTTTTTTTTTTTTTTTTTTGAAAGTTATTTGTTGTTAGTATGTGTAAACATTTTCGCATAACTCATTTTGTGATTTGTGCAAAGAAAATATTGTTGGTAGTGTATTCATCATCATCATCATCATCATCGTCACAATCATCGTCGTTTGAGGCTTACGGCAACTCTTTGTATGTAATGTCAATAACAAACTGAACCTAAGCGTGGAAGTTGCAAACATAGCGTAAGAATTATTTGCACAGAATTCATTTATACAGGGTGGGAGATTTGTTTGTCATTTCTTTAAACACAATTTAAAGCAAATGTAAGTAAGCAATAAACAAAAAGTTGATCTTTTCCTCATAAATAAATCTTCCTTATCCTTCAAGCTTTCTTTAAATTTGGCTCAACTATATAGTCATTGTTTAATAATGTTGTGCGCCATAGATTAGTGTACGGTCATGCATGGAAACCTCTTTCATCTGTGTGTGGGACAAAGCACCATATTGCCATGCATAAGCTCTACGTTGTTGACCGAAAGTATCGAGAGTCTTCGACACACTCTCGTCGCCCGTGAGCGTATCGGCTTTTCCCTATACGCGTGCGAGGCAAGATTTGAAGGCTCTTGACTGCATTTTTCGACACTCCGAATAGAATTTTATATCTCTTATGCCAAGAACAACAACAGAGTGTCGGTTTTTTTACATTGACATTTCCTCTGCGCGTTCCTCGAGCACTTGTTTCGTATTTCTTTGCTTATGGGTCTCTAGATAAAAGAGAACGAGTAATGCAGCAAATATGCTTTTCTGACAGGCATAAAAAGGTCGTTGATGACCATCAGGAAGAGCGAAGGAGAAAGAACATGGGCTAGCTAATAGACTATCTCCGGAAATTTTTTTTGAATAAAAATTTTTCGTTAAGAAAGCCAGTTTTAAGATCTGGGAGAACTATTTCAGTAATTAGTACACCATTTGACTCTTAAGCGAGCCCGACGAAAGTGGTTTCGAAGGTGTATTCGATCAGGGAGGTAAGTTTTCTGAAGAATTTTCAATTTTTTTTGCAACAATCAGATTGACTACAGACTGACTTGCATGTTGAGAAATCGTTGAAATTCTCATATTATATGGAGTTGGTTGTTAACTAAGTTCGATGTACATATGACGGTTGAACTTAAAGCAAGAAATATCTTTTTCTTTACTGAAGCAACTCATATTTTTCGTTTTCCTAAAAACGAGGTTATCTAAACATGAACAATTTGTGCGGTTAATACCTTTACTATATCGTATTTTATTTTTCTGCGGCAACGAAAAATAAAGCGATTAGTAAAGTTGAATGAACAAAACCATATAACGACGAACAAAAAAAAATTCATATAAACTAGAAAATATTATAAATTTTAATTGCCGGGCAATTCTTAAAAAACTTGAAAAACTCTTACCGGATTTCGGATGTACCTTAGAAGACTTTAAAGACCATAACCTTTTCTATGCGCCAAACACAAAATTATTAATGAAAAATATCGGGGATTTTGTAAAGTGTTCCAAACTAATATAAACAAGTAAAAGCGTTATCGCGGCCCACGATCCTCTATTATAAAACCTACTCCCTAATACGGTTGTTCATACAATGACTTTTCAAAATAAAGCCATATATGTGAAGGGCTCGAAAAAGTAGTCAGGTCCAAGCGTCAATCGCGTTCAATAGCGTCTGCTCATGCCGCTCTATTAAATGTCATCAAAATTCGCCAAAAATGTCAGACCAGCAGGATCGATTCAAAAAATGATTCTGAACGAATCGCCATAATAAAATGTGGCTCTAGGTCCAGTCTTTCCAGTGTTGCACCCACGAAAGCTAAGTGTACCCTTGCACCATAAATGCTGTAGGGTGTAAAAAATTTCAAAAATTTCTCTCAATTGCCATTTTCTATAATTAAGTTGTTTTATGGAATTGTCTGCAATTTTTTAGAATTAAAAATTTATATAAATTTACCTCAAATTTTGTATTTTAGAGAAATTTCTGAAATATTTTAAATCTTGTTTCCGGAATATTTTTGGAAAAATTTCATTCGAAAAAAAAATAATTATAATTGAATTGAAATTGCAAAAAAAAGTTTTTAAAGATCTCTCTGTAACGCATGCTCCACCCCGGGGCATGTGTTTTTTAAAGTCCTTTTAAACTTTTCATAAGCAGAATATTTTATTTGAATGCTTTTTATTTTTCTTTTCATATAAAATACTTTGACAGTTAGTCACAGTAACTGATGTCGGTGACATTGTGCAATCTAAAAATACGTACACATCTCTTTTAAAGTGTAAAGTTATACTTCGGTGTTTGGAAAAACTTTTGCACCTTGCAACTCACTTCTCTACATTGAACGAGATTCTACAGCCATCGTTAAAGAAAGAGGGCATGTGCAGAGGCTGTCATGTCGCTTGCATCATCAAGCAATGCATATGCGAAAATAGACAGGTAAAGTGTCTGCATTCTTGATCAGCTACAATGGCAAAAATACTAACGTAGGTTCATTTAGCCAGCTGTCCATTTAAAGTTTCCGCCTTCCCATCCGACCAACCGTCTAACTACTCGTTTGTCCAATGATCCATTTAACTGTGCCGTACATTCATCTGCCCGTCTAATCTTGCTTCCAATCGTCTAATCATTCATCCAAAATCTCGTCCACCTCTCTATCTACTCCTCTACCTAACCACAATCATATAAAGCTTTATCTAAGTCTCTGTCGAATTCTCCGTCTAAACATCTGTCTAAACGTCTACTTAACCCCTACCTGACGGTACGTCTAATCATCCGTCTAGTTCTCCATTTAAGAGTCCGTCTAACCAACTTTCCAACCTTCCGTCTAATCCACCGTCCAAACCTTCATCTAATCGTCGCTATAAGCTTGCAACCAACCGCCTCTTTGACTGCCCATCTAGAGGTCTACTTATCGATATGTTTGACCGTCTGGGCCATCGTTCACGTTGCTATCATTTAAATTAAAATAAGATAACTAACATGAATCTTTGGAACTTCAATACTCTTTGTTCATTTCTCCCGAGCTTATGCATTCCATTAGTCCAGCCTGTGTGAGTGAAATATGTGATTTCTTTAAAAAATGCTGAGCTTCAAAAAAAAACTCTACCTTATCCCAAAAGTCAAACATAGATAAGATGGAGTTGAACGAATGAATTTTGGCCTTAACTTATTAATGAGAGGTATGCCAAGTTCTAACAAACAAACATACGTTAGAGACGTATCACCAAAAGCGTAAAATTAATCCTGAACAACTGATGAGCATGATCATCGTTGCCAAATATGATAAATGATTTTCTTTATATTTCCCTAAGATGAAGGGCATTCAAGATTCATGATTGAAGCTTTTTTTTATGTGCATTTATTTTTATTATTTTTTTTTTATTTTTTTCTTTAACATCATGAACATCTCGTTTTTTCCCTGTTTATTTAGCAAAATACTTAAATTTACATATCTATCTTCATGTATATATGTGTATGCATTTATCTAACTATCTAGTTGTTAGTCTGCTGTTTATATGCCAGCGTGTTTGCTTTCGCATTTATCCTTTTTTTTTTTTTTTTTTTTAAACAATTTTCTGTATATTTCATGCTTTTATGCATTCATAAGCATAAGATGAGTGCATACAAAGCATTTTACATTTTTTTTTTTTATTTTTTTTTTTTCATTCTATAAAATTTATGTGAAAAGTTAAATAGACAGAAAATTGTTCACAATTTCGAATTGTGTGTATTTACAAAAGGCATCATCGTCATTATCATCATCATCATCATCATTATTATCATCATCAACAGCAGCAATAGTAATTTCAGTGGTGGTAGTAAAACAACAACAATTGCATTAGTAATAGGAATATATAGTTAAAGAGTAATTCATGGAAAAAGCTAAAAGAGAATTCTAAGGATAATCCGTATAAGAGGTATAAGGTATTTCTTTAAAACAAACGTTCTTTTATGTATGCTTCGATTGATGTTGGTTGAGGGTTTTTGCATATATTGAAGTTTTTAGTGAATGCGGCAGAAATCGTCGTTTGATAATTTTCAATAAAATACTTTTAATAAAAACGACAAAGAAAGCTTAGAATGAATCGATTGATACGCTCAACTGGTTTATTTTTGCTCATTATACCCTACACAACTTGTGCTACAGGGTATATTAAGTTTGTGCGGACGTATGTAACACGCAGAAAGGCTTACATTACATCCATCTTTTATTGTACCGATCAATTTAGAATCGTAACCTGAATTGATCTCTGTCTGTCAATGTAAATTTGTACTCAAGCTGCAGGTCACAATTCTTGAGCTATTTTAATGAAATTTAGTACAACGACGTATTTTGACCCAAGGACGAACGTTGTTGACAACAATGTGGATTGATCCACCTTTTCGACCCCTCCTCATATAACGCCCTATTCTAAAAAGTCGTTATATGGAAAAAATAAATTAATTTTCAAAATTTGTCGGCAAAAGTGTCCCTCTAAGTTTTGAAACCCCTCTCATATAATGAAAACTAAAATTCATGCGACAAAAAGGTATAATTTTCAGTTCTTCACGACGAAAATTATATCACAATAGTAATTTAACATAAAAGAATTAACTGTACCTAATTTGGACAAGGTATTTTTTGATCCCACCTTAATAATCAGTTCACTAAAATTGATGCTATGTACCGCAGAAAATTATAAGTTTAAATATGTGATGTTGGATAAGGCTTTATATGGGGAGTGGTCGAAAAACTGAATCCATCTGAGTCATTTTCAATAGCATTGGGTCAAGACAAGTCACTGTACCAAATTTCATCGAAATATCTCAAAAATTGCAAGCTGAACACAAATTTAGATTGACAGACGGACAGACCGCTTAGATGAATAGTACGCTCTTCGGGAAAGGCTTAATATTTTATGACGAAAATTAATTCATAATAGAGTTTATTAAAAAAATAAACGGTAGAGAGTTTGGATCCCATAGATTTATTTTTTTGGACACCTACATATATATATAGGTACTATCACGAAACGCAAACTCTTATATAGAGAGAAAATCTAACCTTCCAATATGCGGGCTGAAAATTATAGCTTTCTGTGGACATAATGTGTACTGTTCGGTGTATTCTTATCAAAATGAGCGAATAACTGTACTAGACGAAGTGTCGTACGGTATGTAGTAATCGGCGTTGCCCGGCTATAATGTTCTGTTCATGTTTTTTAATAAACGAAATTGTACTAAATTCAAATCGCTTTTTGTACTCTACACCATTATATATATATATTAAATTTGTGCGGATGTATCCAGGGCCCAGAGGAATTTGAAATAGACCACCTGCTATTATATCAACCCGATTCAAAAAGTAATTCTAAGCTTGCGTGTGTCCATTTTATATTTATCTATCTGCTCGTTCCTAGCCTATCTGTCTGCCCCCTTCGATGTTTGTCCATTTATGCCGGTTTAAGGTCATTAACCACTTGCATGTCCATCTATCGATCATGTTTTTTGTGTTTAACCTATTAGTCGGAAATTTTGAAATGTTTTGGCCCAAATACGAACGCTTTTGAGACTGGTTCGGATCGCAACACTCTTCCGACCACTTCCCACATAACGCCTGAGTTAGAAAATGGTTAAATGAATATCTGCAGGGTGATGTAGGGTACCTTATGGTGGTACCGTGGCCCACTAAATTGCTCTCACCTGCTCACAAAGGGTTTCTTCCCAAGAAACACAAATAGTTTTCATTTAAAACCTATGACACCACAATAAGCATAAGAAGCTGTGCGGACATATGTATCTGTTTCAATGATTCTTACATAAGAAGTTGTTGCGCTCACCTACACTATTATCTAAACGCCAAGGTAAGAAGTATCAGAATTTCGGATACGGAGCTTTCCATCGAACACTCCAACATGGGACCGAACTTTGCCGTCAGTTTTGCAATATTCATTACTACGCGCTAGCAATCCTCTACAACACAAATGAACCTGTTAATGATGTGTTACTGGCAGCGAGTCCTGTTGAGCTGTCCGTGCGTCCTTGTGACACGTTGTCAATCACCTATTGCTAAGGCAATGGCACAATATATCTGATATGTGGAATATGTACGACGATATTTTAGATATCAGGTTTAAGAACGTGCCCGGCACACGTACCATTGCTTAATATTAAAGAATTAAACCATTTCCCGAAAAGCACTAGAATTTTAATTTTCGTTTTTTTTTTTTTACTTTGACAAGAAGTTACGATTTAAAAAGCTAATAAGAAACCTGACAATTTTCGATCATTTTTACCAAATGACGTCAGTCTCGTTGTTTACAATCGTCATCAACAGCGAATTCCACAATCAAATTCATGGTTGAGTTCCGAGCCTTTTAATTAAAAATCGCAGTTTTCTGTTTTAAGAGATTAGTCAGAAAATGACCTCCATATATCCATAGATGTTAACCATAGAGAAAGAAGCATCATCGGTAGATAGTAGGGGAAGATGGAGGAACTATCTCAGGCAAACCCATCATTGACAAAGACGTTATACACATACATGGCAATCAATTTCTTATTCTCTTCTTAGTTGAAGACATTATTTAATACTAGTACTAAAAAAGTTTGCCGTCCTGGAATAGATGATAAAATGTTTTTTTTTTTTTCAATTACAGTCAAATATACCGTAATGCGAGGATTCGTACGGCGTTATATGAATTTCAGATTTAAATCAACTTAAGAAACGCTTTCTTGGGAAACAGAGTTTGGAGAAACATCGAATTAAAACAAAGCAGATGTAGTTCTATCGTCTTGTATGGAAACCACTGCCGCATTATGGCAAACAGGGAATTAAAACAAGTTAAATGAATTCGTATCGCGTTACGTAGAATGTCAGAAGTAACTAAAACTTTTAGAAGCAGCAATGCCTTATTATATTCCCATTGTTAAATTATTCTTATATGACAAACGTGTTAAAAGAGGGCGCATTATAGAAGAATTGACCCAATTTTCGAGCAGCTTTACAGCAAACTTAACGGGTCTTAAATATTTATGGACAATCGCTCAGGAGCTGTTTACCACACATGCAACGCCTTAACAGCCAGGCAGGAGTGGGGGAAGAGACAGAAATAGGGTATTTCCGTAGTCTGGTGGATGCGTGCCCAATCATGTTATTTCTTTACCGACTAAGCACTCGCTGTAGCTACAACCAATCGCGAACCAACCCGCTCTGAGCTTTGAAGACCGGAACATCAACTTGACGGTCGGAATTCTTACCTAGAACGTTATAAGACGCTATAGTAAGATAGAGAGATGCTTGGTTGAATAAAGCCCAGCTTATAATTTATTATCCAATTATAAATGCAAGTTATTGATTTATACCGAAGTCAAGACAGCTCGGAAAGGCAGCCTACATTATTTGAGGGAAGTGTCTTTGCTAAAAAAAGTCTTTGCTAAATTACGATTTACTGCGAAACAAAGAAAAACGTATAAAATTAGTATGAAAATTGAAAAATATTATGAAGGATACGCGGATAAAACAAACTAAGCCATTGGCTATGCTCGCAAAGCCAACCAAGTCAAATAATTGCATTCGCTTGTAATCGAATCTTTTATACCCATTACCGTTATCCTAAAAGCGATTAAAAGAAAGGAAAAGAACTCAACTTTTATACTCTATAATATTGGGTGGGAGCGGCTGGTTTTTTCTATTTTCAGAATAAAAGTTGAAATTTGTAAGCATGTGGACGTTAGGTGCGTGTCTTATGTAGGCGACATCCGAATTTTTGCAAACGGGGGAATGTTTACCACAGATACAACACAGTTGCGCAGATGGACAGAGGGACAGGCAAACGAGCAGATTTGCTGTGATGCGTTCCGAATATGAAACTGGCCAAGCATTTATATACTTTATGGAGTTTTTAAATATAGATCCTGTGCGTTATAAAAAAAATTTTGAAAAAAAAATGAAATTATGACGCAATGACAAATTAAGTAGGTGAAGTCGATTGCTTCCGTTTTTGTAGAGCTACTACAGCATAGCCCATAGAATAGAATATATGAACAAAGAACGAATTTTTAATTTCATTTAAAAGATAGTGATGTGCTCAGTCTACGTGATGCTGTAAGCCTGCCTTTCAAACGATTTGGCCCATTTTCAATTCTAACCTGCGTGCAAGAACTTCCAATGTTTCTGCCCAATTTTAAGTCGACAGCTTAATTTTTGCGATCAAGAGAATGTTGACAACAGATATAATACGGACGGACAGATGGACATACTTAAATATACACATACTTTGCACGATCTCTTGAACGTCTTGCTGGGCGTTGCAAACGTTTTGACAAAATGAAGTGTGCAGATAACTCGCCTTTTAGCAAAAACAAAATTGTGCGTGGGTTATACGATTTATTATCATCATTTTAGGCATGAATTTAATTTATTAAATTTCATTTATAAATTGTCCTAAATTTGCTTTCGTGCAACTTTTTCCACACCTAATAAGTTCTTCCTGATAATTGTCCGGAAACTAACGCTCTAATCCCAAACAAAAATGAGCAAAGTAACTTAACTTACTTTCCAAAGTCATCTTCTATAAAATAAAGAAAAACTATGCAAAAGACTTTACTTGAATGCTGGCAATGAACAAAGAAACGAACAGTTCAAGAGAGCACCTCAAAAACAATGGATAAAAGTGCGCTATAATCCAACATTTGGCTATGATTGGATTATTCATCGCACTTGTGAAGCAAGTTAAGCAATATTCCAGTTTTCATAATTCCAAAAGTCCGCTTCATATATATATATATATATCAGTTTTATTAATAAATCCGAAATTGTTTTGCTTTCCATTTACCCATTAGCACGGCTTCCACTTCGTCGTGTAATAGCTTGCATATGAAATATTCTCCCACAATGCAATTTCTTGTGTTATGCTTTTGAGTAACTATTGTTAGGCGCAGGCAGCCTTTGGTCATCATTAGCATATTAAAGCCATAAAACCTTTTTCGGAGTATAACTATGTTCATATGTTAATAATTATTGGCCATTTTGTATACAGTAAGCGTACGATAATCTGCCATAGCCAGAAAATAAGCTCCTGACGAGGGCGAAAAAGGTAGAACAAGCACGAGGAGCACAAGTTAAAATTTTTCTTAGAATTGATTTTGTTTTTATTTTTTTTTTTTAGTTAAGCAACCATGTTGCTGTTTATTGTTTCTGCTACTATTGCCTCCTTGCAGTACTAACTGCCAATTTTGTTTGTCATGAATTGAACATAAAATTTTGCAGAATAAATTCACACACACACATTCACATCTACAATGTTAAGAAAAGCAAAAAAAAAAACAAGAAAAACAAAAAGCCAACAACACGATCACGATCAATACGTATTTATAAAATAGGAAAAATTCATTGCAAGGCAGTCCGTACGCACACACTTACACACACATACATACGCGTGCATATGCATACACAAACAATACATAATGCAACATTAAGGAGACATAGAAGAAACAGAACAAAAAAAAAAAACGAAAAAAGAGACGAGAACAATATACTGGTTTGCGTACAAATATAATACGAGTATAAGAAGGCAAAAAAAAAAAAAAAATTGCAGAAAAATTCAATTCATTGACAATGGATGTGTGCAGCAAGTTTCTACTACTACTCGTGCTGTTGCTGTTGCTGCTGCTGCTGCTGGTGCTGGTGCTGCTACTGCTGCTGCGATTGTCTATAGTCAGCAATAACAGCATCAAAACAAACCACAGTCAACAAAATCAGTAGCAATAGCGGCAGCAGCAGCAGCAGCAGCAATCATTTTGTAACTTTAAAGCATACAGATACACATACGCACACACACACACATGTATGCGTACATATAAAGGCTTACTAACTGTAGCCAAATGCAGAATGTTTGTACCCGAGAGAAGACGTATTGTTGTTCACGTTGTATGAAATGAAATAATGCAACGAAATTTTCTGTTGTTTTTTTCTTTTTTTTTCTTTATTCTACACATGCGAACCAAAAACAAAACAAAGTTGAAGTGAATTTAAAGTTGGTTGTTGAGTTGATTTGGTTCTGTTTTCTTTTTTTTTTTTTTTTTTTATCAAAACAGCCAAAACATATAAAAAATAAAAATGTCTGATTGTCCGTTTATCTGTCTGTCCAATTGGTATTTTGTTTGTTTTTTTTTTCATTCTTTTTTTTTTTATTTTCCATCTGTCTTTCCGTCTGCCATATCCATCTTTTATTTTGTCTCCATTTTAGAATTTACAACAATGCCAACAAGGTGATGATAAAAGTATTTAGAGGGTGAGGAAGGGTGTTGGCGTATTAGGGTAGCCAACGGGCAAGCAGACCGCCATTCAGTCAGTCAGCGAGTTATACAGCCAGTCAAGCATTGTATTCAAAAGTTTTGTTTTATTGTACAGTTGAAGGATTTTGCAACAACAATGACAATATCAAAAAACGCAAAAAAAAAAAAAAAAGAAGAAAACAGAACACAACTGAAAAAGTTTTCATTTCGCTATTTTATACCGTTCTTATTGACATCATTCTTTCCAAATCGCTGGAGACTGACAGCAGCAATACGAATTCGATATTTTTGCCATGTTATAGCCATATAATCATCAAATAAAATATATGGATTTTTTTCTTCTTCTTTTTCATCTTCTTCTTTTTATATGCATTTATTTATTGTATTTCAGCTGCTGCCGCTTACTGTTTTACTGCTACCGCTGACAGTTGATGTTCTACTTGTGTTAACGTACTTGAATGGTTGCTTAAGTTGAGGAGGTGTACTAGCAATCGTCTGCACGTCTCTTGTAGCAGTTCTTGTTATTGCTGCTGGTGTATTTCGTTTTGTAGCATTTTTTGCTAAAGTTTTTAGAAAATCCGTTGTTTGTGTTTTTATCTTTTTTTTGTTTTTTTTTTTTTGTTTATTTTTTTTTGATAAAGCTAAAAAGTCTTTCATCCTGATTGAGATTGCGGTTGCTGAAGTCGTATTTTACAGAAAGAAGTTTGAGTTCAGCTGCCAAAATGACCAAACAGAGATAAATAACGTATTGGGTGGGCAATAAGAAATTGTCCAGTATTATGTTCTTCTCTCTTCTTATTTCCACTTGTTGTTTCATTTTACTGTCCCTCGCTTCCCTGTCTCTCTCTATCCTTGTCTTTTTCCCTCTTTCTTCCTACATATCCCCGTCTCTCGTACTATCTCTCCCTCTTTTTCTCTACCGCCATCCTTCTCCGCCCCCCTCCCCCCCTCCTCCCTTCACCCCTCTTTAATACTCTCTCATTCTCTTTCCTTATATGTACCTGTCGCATCCTTATCTGCTTTAGTAATGCTGATCCCAAGGAGCGAGCACGAAAACTATACAGCACATCCACGATCTCAATATATCAACCTAACAATTCTTGAGAAAATGATTTCACTTAATGGATGATGCGAAGCAGCGATGTTGCAATAGAATATTCGTCTGCTTGCGCTAATCCATTATTGCGACCCTGATAAGCCAAATAAGATCCAGTTTCCATTTTCAGTTACGAAGTTTTCCTTCTTTTTTTTAAGCTTGTAAAAGTCTTAGCTTTAATAGCATCAGGAAATGCATATTTGCAGACGACTTTTTCCGCGTTTAAAAGTTTATAAGTACTGTTCTTCAAAAAGATGAAGAAAAATGTACATTAAATGGCCCATTATAAGTTTGTGTAGAAACCAGATACCCTGACGGTCTGAAGAGCTTGAAGGTAATTGGCTAAGCATCAGTTTATTCTCAGTAAATCAAAATAATTAATTTCTTAATTGTCTTAGGACGTGTCCGGCACGAGCAAAGGACTTGCAATACTACCAAGTATTCATTCAACATTGTAGTTCTACGCTTCGTAGCAAACCTTTCGCTTGGTTGCAAGGTTCGTGCATTCGTTTCTCATTCATTTCTATTCCTTTTCTCATTCACTCATCTTCAAACTTCAAGGCCTATGAATAAAACACGATTTTAGCCAATTGATAAATTCGTATATCCGTAATGCCCTAATATAATATCATTAGAATTTAAAGGCAAAATTTAATAGAAGCCCGCAATGCAACTTGAACAACAACATTTATCTTGTAGTTACGACGAAATTATTTCAAATTGATGAAAAGAAAGAAAATGAAGGAAATTTGTTGTCGTAAGATGCAATCCACTCATAAAAGTTCGCTGCTTAGTAAGGGAAAATTCTACATTCTCGTAGCTTTTAATGCAAAAATTTGCATTTTTTTTCCGGTTTCTTCAATATTTTCGAACATATTACGTCTTTGAAGTCGCAGTTTCCGTTATTACAGTCACATGCCAGTTCAAATAGTTGAAGGTCATATTTTCAAAATTGGTACTTTTTCAACCTACGGTAGCCGGTTCATCGGTCAACATCAATTAGTCTCCAACACAATATATTTTTTTTGATCAGGCACAACAGTGTTTGTAAGTTGCCTCGCTTCTTAACATTCGCTCTTCTACGAGATAGTAATGCGGCGTGAGTCGGAATGCAAAACTTAAGTTCACTTTCAGCCAAACGACACACAATCATCATAAGTTTCCTCCCACGGGGAAAGAAATCTTCTAAACCCTACCTGTATTCATTTCTATTATTCTTCCTTTCTAAAGTGTGTTACTTGCAAACACTTTAACCTGCTGTTTATTTTTATATTCATGTATATGTGTAGAGTGTACCGTCAGAAGAATAATACTTCAAGTGATGCGCTAAAAATATTTTGTATTTTATTTTATTGATTTTATTTTATTTCATTTATTTCGTGTTTATGTATATTTTTTGATTTTTATAAATTTTTTATTTTTTTTTCTTTTTTTTCTTTTGCTAATATAATGTATTGTCGTTGTGTGCCAAACCATTCAATACAAAGCCAACCGTCGCCATACCTTTGGGTACCAATAACACAAAAACACACAACAAAAACAATAGCAACAACCGTATTGCCGTCATCTTAGTTTAGTTGAAGTAGCTTTGAAGATTTCACAGAACCAACCACTAAAGGAAGCTTTAAAGCAACAACAACAACGACAATAACAACAATAAGAACAATAATAATAATAAGAACAACAAGTCAGAATAACGACAAAGACTGGCATCCTATGCATTCAGCACTTTTACTATCAAACTAAGAAGAAATAAGGGAAGATGAAGTAAAAATACAACAACGTTAAAAAAAGAAAAAACAAAAAAAAAAAAAAAAAAAAACAAAAAACCAACAAAATCAAACGGCGGCTGCATCTGAATCAGAGGCAGCAATAACATCGGTAACTGACGCAGCTACCGATAAAAGTTGACAGCTGCCGCATTCGTTGTTGCTGTTTTTATGTTACTCCAGCACCGACCATGTAGTACTGGTGAGACTTTAAACAACACATGCACGCGCACATATAATATACACTTATATATATATATATATATATATATATGCGGATAATTCATGTGAGCTTTTGCCATCATCATCACTTTAAAAGAAATATATATGCAACGTAAGCGAAGGTAAACAACAGAGGAGCTTGCTACAGATGTCAAAGAAAAGATTGTGCGTTTAAAACAACTCCAACATTTACGGCAACAACAAAAACAACAACAATAGCAAATCATTACAAGTGCAAAAACACACACACACACACACACACACACACACACACACAAACTACAAACAAAAAAGTTGAAAACTACGGCGGCAGTAGCAGCATCATGACGTGACGTTAACGTCATCAATGGTTATAGCCAAAAAGGCTTTTAGTCAGCCAGCCATTCAACCCTAATGGGCGAACCAGTAACTCACACACAATCGCAGTTGCCCCGCAGACATCACAGACGACACCTTTAACTTCACTTAAGCAAAAACCACGCCTCAACATTTACTGTGCGTTCAAAACAAAAACAATGGTCGTTCATTATACAACTACTATAGCACATAACTACAACAACAGAAATAGAATCCACCACTGTTTTCTTATTTTTTTTTTTTTTTGCTCTCACATGTTAAACAGAGATAACCCTAGAATTGCTTACTAGAGAGAGTTTACTTATAAGAGAGTGAACTCTTTTCGACTTTCATTATAAATCAAAAATTATAAGAGTAAAGGAGATAACTAGTGTTAGTTAGTGAACGAAGTAAACACATTGTTGCACTCATATAACGAAGTATGTGTGCATAAGTGTTGCTTGACAAGCCAACTAACATAGCACACACGCGCACACAAATGAACATCTATATATATACATATAATTATATATACATATAAACGCTTTCATACAAACAGTGTTGGCACTTCCAACATTAGTTGAACCATCAGCCGTCATGCATTCACCATCAAACTTGCCTAAAGGTGAGACCGTGTTTTTAATAAAATCGCGGCGCGACGCATGTCTCTCAACTATATATATATATACATATATATATATATATATATTTGAATATCTTATATGCTTGTTTACTCGTGTTTCGGGGTTGCGTTACAAATTTTTTTCGAATACAATAATTACACAAACAACATATACGTTACGGTACGCATTGTTACTGTTATTATTATTATTATCATTGTCGTTGTTGTTGATAATGACGAATTAATAGAGAGCTTAGAGAAATATATTAATGCTGAAGCGAAAAAGTAAATACATATAGCTATACATATATATATCTATATATATATTTATAAATGTATGTATTTGTATGCATATATATGTGCTTAAACTAACAAAAAATTATCACACGCATCGTAAAGTTGTGTCCATTACTTGCAGAGTCAATCAGTGAGTGAGTGAGTGTATGCGCGACGTCATATTATACGTTCGTTGATTTATGTTTTCTTATTATTGTTGTAGCTACCGTTACAAAAAAAAAAAAAACTGTTTAAAAAAAAACAGAAAAAGAAAATTTAGTGAAAAATAAAAAAATCAGACAATTCGTAAAACAACACTAATACAGACTTGCGTTGCAGTTGAACGGTAACAAAACGTTAATAAAGCCGCGGGCAAATTGTGTTTGCTCCAAACTTTTCTGCTGGTCTCTACTTGCAGTTACAAATTTTATATTCTGTTCCTTTCTGTTTTTTTCCTTTTCTTTTTTTCTCAAAACCCGGCGCGTGTCATAAAAAAATATATATTAAAAAAAAAAAAAAAAATTAAACCTAAAAGTAAATGAATTAATCTAATAAATAAATTTAAAATTCATCTATGAAATGCAAATTAAAAGAATTGTGTTTTTTTTTTAATTTTTTTTTTTTTTTTCTTAATTTTCTCGATAGCTCAAGCAATTATTTAGTGTGAAAATTACTGTTCAAGTGTGAATAATATTTTTATTTTTTTTTTTTGAAAACTTGTGCCAGTGTAAGTGTGAAAATTGTTAGACTGCATAAACAAAAATCAACAAAATTAAAAAACAAAACGTTAAACGTACACACTTCCTGTCTAAAGAAGGATATACTAATCAATACCCCGATATCAAACGAATGCAAAAAACGGATATACACAAAAACCTCTGTCAAGGATTAAAAACGTTAACATACAGGACAACGCCTTAAGTTTTCATTTTTTTTAATTCGCCCACATTTATCACTAACAAGTAGAGATAATAAATTCATAAGCAATTAGTCAAATAAAATAAAGGAAAACGCTGCTCAAGGGGTTAAGTATTTTTTTTTTTTTTTTTTTTTTTTTCATTCCGTCATCACCGTTGACAATTGCTACGGAGCAGATATTGCAAGATTGTAGAACCGAATTTCCTTAGTTACTTAATCAAGTGTGTTCTGGCTTTGCGATCGGTCATAAAAAGCTACTATAGGTTTTCTTGTTATATAGCTTCTGTCTACTTGAAACAAACACGTTGTTCTCAACCAACC